ACTCTTGAAAGCCTCTGTCCTTTTCCAGAACCATTCCTGGATGGCAGCAGACGTGGATCACGATTATGTGGATCACAATTAGCAGATGGATCACAATTAGCAGCCCCCACCCTCCCCCAGCACGGCAAGAGCTCAGCACACTCAGGGGGTGACAGTTACCCCCCTTTCTCCCCTCCCAAATTCCCCCTCTACCCAATTCCAGGCTCCTCCATCTCAGCTCTCAAGGGCAGGAGGGACCCAAAGGGCCAAGTCCAGGAGCTTTCCCGAGGATTTCACAGGGAATTTTTCCACTGGTGTCTCTCCTTGCTGGCTGAGCTGTGTGGGGTGTCGGCAGGGGGGTCAGTCTGCAGGAATTTAAGGGAATTATGTGTATTTTGGGGATCAGGACACAGAAAAGGCAAAAATAAACAATAAATTTTGCAAATAAAGGCAACCCCCCCCCCAAACCTAAGAAGTCCTACAAAGTTTGTCACCTTGGACTCTTTCTCTGTGGGGCAGGTTGGGCTTCCTTGCCTGTTCCTTCCCTTCCCTGCCTGCTCCTTCCCTTCCCTGCCTGCTCCTGCCCTTCCCTGCCTGCTGCTGCCCAAAGCAGAGCACGGGGGAGGATGGGGGAGTTTGGAGGAGCCGGGAAGCAGCCTGGGGTGCTGATAACCCCCCCTCTCCTGGAGCTGGACTTATCTCTGAGCCCGTGACCTTCCCGGCCCAGCTGAGCCTCACCCGTGTGCTGGGAGCCCACACCCAACTCTGGCCCCTCCGTCCCTCCCCTGTGCTGCTTTTGCCCACACTGAGGCTCTCTGAGGTCCCAAGTGCCATTATTTGTCAGTCCCAAGGGTTGTTGTCCCAGGGATCCAGAGGCAATCCTGCTCCCTGGGGAGCTTCCTGTGCCACGGGAACACCATCAGTCCTGTCCCGGAGCCCCTTTGCCTTCCCAGGTTGGAGGAACAAGTTCAAGGTTCCCAAGGCTGCCTGGAGGAGCTGGATCAGGATCTCACACAGGGACAGGGTGATTCCTGAGCTCGTGCCAGGGATTTTGTGTTTTACTGACCTGGATTGATTTATTTTCCACGTATTTTCCAAGCTCCTCCACACCCCGGCATGTCTGGCTGAACCTCAACTCCCACCCATAGGTGCTCCCTCCAAAGCTGGGGTGCCACAACCCTTTCCAGAGTCTCAGGAATATTTCTGGGGCATCGGGTGTTTGCACAACCCCAATCCTGCAGGACTGGACCCCCAGCCCCCAGGAAGGCTTTTTGTGGGGGGAATGCTGTGGGGCTGGATTTAACCCGTGGCATGGGGGTGTCTCCTTCCGGAGCATTTCGGGTCTGGAGTTGCATTTGGAGGGGGGTTGCTGTGCCAAAGGCCTGGAATGGCAGTGCCCTGGATGGGACAGGGAGCTGCCTGTTGGGACCAGCCTGAGCTCGAGCAAAGCCCTGTCCAAAGCCGGGGCAGGAGTGGGGTGAAGGGAGCCCAGCGGGGTCTGGCACCCCCAGTGCCAGCTCCCAGTGCCCTACACCAGCTCCCAGCACCCATCTCCCAGCGCTCCCAGCTGCCATTTCCCAGTGCTTCCAGTGTTCCCAGCATCCAGCTCCCGGTGCTCCCCGTCCCCCGCCGCTCCCCCCGGGCCCAGCGCTGCTGGGCGACACGTGCTCCCCGCCTGGCCACGCCCACCGCCAGGTATGGCCACGCCCACCGCACATATAAGGCTCTGTCTCCGCCCACACCCTGACATGGCCCCTCCCACCACACCGAACAAGGGCGTGGCCACGCCCACCGCGTTTCGCAATAGCCCGGCCCCGCCCAACCCGGAAGCCCCGCTCCGAAAGGCCCCTCCCCCTGGCCTGGCCCCGCCCCTAGCGCGTGCGCAGCCGGCCCCGCCCACAATCGTCCCCCCTCCTGGCCCCGCCCCCAAACTCCCACGTGTCCCCCCCTTGTCCCCTGAGTGTCCCCAACCCCCCACGTGTCCCCTCCTGTCCCCTGGGTGTCCCTGCTCCATTTCCATGTCCCTCTCTTGTGTCTCTGTGCCCCCCCCGGTGTCCCCAGACCCTCCCTGTGGCTGCCACGTGTCCCCATCCCTGGTGTCCCCATGTCACTGGTGTCCCCCCGTGTGCCCCCACGTCCTCTGTGTCCTCCCACGTTCCTCCAATGTCCCCTGTCCCCCCATGTCCTCTGTGTCCTCCCACGTTCCTCCAATGTCCCCTGTCCCCCCCTCTGTGGGCCCTGTGGCTCCCATGTCCCCCCTGTCCCCAGTGTCCCCTTTGTGCCCTCAGCGTTTCCCTGGTCCTCCCAAACCCTCGGAGTACCCCATCTGTCCCCATGTCCCCTGTGCCCCCCAAGTCCTCTGTGTCAGACCCAGGACCCAGCGAGGTGACCCTGTTCCCCCCCACATTATCACCCACAGCTGAGCCCTGCAGTGCCACCATTTATTGTAGGACCTACAAAAAAGCAGAGGCAGCAGAATCTGCACAAAAGGCTCTGACTCAGCCCGAAGTGTGTGTGTGGGGGGCTGTGCAGGGGGACATCGGGGTGAACAGGGGGGTCCCGTGGGCACCCCATGGGCAGGTTTGGGATGGGGAGTGGCACCCAGAAATCCCATCCTGGCCATGCCAGGGCTTCTCTGGGGTAGGGGGGACAACATGATCCAACACATGGATGCCTGGATGATCAATTAATTAATTAATTTTATAAGGCACAAGGAGAGGCTGTCCATGGTGGGTAATGAACCACTGGGCATTTTGGATGGGCCACATTCCCGAATCCAAAAGCAAAGGCATGGGACAGGGCGGGGGTCGGTGACCCTTAAATGAAGTGCTGTCGGTAATGAGGCTGGAAAATCCCAAAGGATGGATGGATCTACTCCCTAATCCCTGGACCAGCATCCAGTTTTTCCTGCTGTTGATGCCCCGTGTATGTGATGCTCCACCCAGCGCGGATGCGGCTCCCAAGGGATTCACCCTCCAGCCAAGCACTGCATCCCGGCGCATCCCGGCGCTGCCACAGATCCCCCAGATCCCAAATCTTTGTTCCCTCCCGGCCTTTTTCCTGCTCGTTTTTCTGCCCGTCACCGGGAGCAGCGTCAGGCCAACACTGACATCAAGTGGCTGCCGGGATCCTTCGCTTTCCTGGGCCGCATCCTGCCCTTCCCTGCGCCGGGAGCAGCCCAGCACCACCCTCCTCCTGCCCGGGAGAGGGACCAGCCGGGTCTCCATCCATGCCCGGCCGGGCGGGCGGGATGCATCCAGCCGTGCTCCATCCGCCCGTCCCCAGCCAGGCCACCCCCGTGTCCTATCCTGTCCCCAGGACCAGTCGATATCCCAGCGGGATCGAGCCGAGCGCCGAGCCGGGAGCATCCACACACATCCCTCACCCACGGGGAGCCCCCTGCCCGCGGCACCCCCGGCCCGGGCTCTGCCCCGCCGCGGGCAAGGGCAGGGTGACAAGGGCAGGCGAGGTCGTGGTGGCCCTGCCACCGCCCGTTTGTCCCCAGTCCCTGCCCGAGGCCGCGGACTTTGTGCCGGGCGGGGGAGCGGCGGCGGGGACGTGTCTGGCGGCGCTGGCACGGCCCCAAATCTCGGCTCCGGACTGCAGGTAACCCCGGGGTGACCCCCCCGCGGTGACACGGGGCTGCCCCGCCGATCTCGGGTCGTGATCCCCAGGTCCGGACTCAGCTCCTGGGGGAAATCACGGCGTTATTCCCGTTTTATAGCAGGGGAAGCTGAGGCAGTGTGGCCACACAGCCCTGCTTTTTGGGGGGATAAAGGCTGGAAAACCCCGGGTTTTCCCTTCAAATCGCCGGGCTGGGAGGCCCGGAGGAGTTTTGTAACTCCCCATTCACCTTCATCCCGGCTTTCCTGAACCCAGAGCTGAGCTCCCCTGGGGAAGCTGAAGCCCAGGGTGGGGACATTGGCATATTGGCTGCAGGTGGAGCTGGAATTAGGGGGGCAGGTGTGGTGCTCAGCCCCTCTGCGGGAACCCACCCATGGGTGGGAAGGGGGCGGGGTGTGCTGGGACTGGGTTTAACTCCTGAGAGAGTGCAAGCTGTGGATTTGTGTTGGGAGGGCGGAGCAGGCTGAGCTCTCTGCCCTGTAATGAGGTGTGTTGAGTCTCTGCAGATCCCCCGCCCTGGGGTTGCTCTGGCTGAACTCCCCATGTGGCAGATCTGTGACCCTGCACGGTGCCAAATGGAGTGTTGGGGGCTTTGGGGCTGTGGTTCAAGGTCCAGGACACGGTTTGAGGAGGGCTCAGTGATGCTGGTGGTTGTTTATCCCCCAAGTCCGGAAACGCTCTGCTGGGAAGGAAAGGGAGGGGGGAGCCGGGGCTGTTCCCGGAGAGGGAGGGATGCCCTTGGTTCTACCCCAGGACAGCCCCATATGTGTGGCCCCAGTTGTCCTTGACCCCCAGTGTTGCCACTTCCCTCCCTCTCCAGCTCCCCGGTGGCTCTTCAGTGACCAGGAAGGGTCGAGAACCTGCTGGTGGCCTGGGACAGGAGGGACAGGACGGTGACAGGTCAGTACTGTGGCTCTCAGGGTGGGGTTTGGGTGCTGCTGCCTGGCACCCTTGGGTGTCACAGCCCTGTCCTCCCAGCCTTCCCGTGGACGGAGCGTGGAGGGGACATGTAAGGAAACGCGTCCTTTGCCCTCCAAGTGCGGTTTTCCTGGGGATTTCCTGGCTGATGCAGGACAGGGCATGGGAAAAACATCAGCTCAGAGCCTGAGGCACTCCTGGAAAGGGGGTTGTCCCCATCTAAGAAGCGACCTGGCTTTAAAATTTGGTTTGGTCCCTTTGGGTCTATCAAGATGGACCTCTTGAGTGGGATGGGGAGTGTGGGTGCAGGTGGAGAGGTGATGGTGGTCTCAATAACAGGGAGAAGGTGCAGGGATCCGGGGAGCAGCTGGAGTGGAGACGTGGCCATTGTTTGCCCCAGCGCGGGGCTGCCAGAGCCTTGGGGACACATCCAGCACCATCCTGACTGTGCCAGCACCCCCTGAGGAGCCAGTGACACCATGTCCCAGGCAGGAGGTACAGTGGAGCCCTCTGTCCCTGGGGAGCCACAAAGGAACCCAGCACTGGTTTGACCCTCTGTTGTTCCCTCAAATCAGCACCAACCTCCATCCCATCCCGGTGCTGTTTCTCTTGGATTTTTGATCCTGAAAGCACCTTTTACCCCAAACCTGGCCTTCAGGGTGCTGGACTGCTCCAGGAGCTCCTGTAGCAGCAGCCCCTGTCCCCACGTCCCCACCATGTCCCATCTGCACTGCGTGGGGAGGGCGGTCAGCCCTGGATGGAGCAGGGGGGGCACAGAAATAAGCACTGGGGGAAATGTACGGGGGGCCCTGCATGGCCCACCCTGCTCCATCCCCCAGGAGCTGAGGAGACCTTTGAACACCGTGATGTGGTCATCAACACCCAGGACAAGGTCTCGGATGTGTACACGCAGCTGGAGAAGCTGGGAGAGTAAGTGGGGGGGTCGCGGATTCCCACGGCCTGGGCATGGACAGCCACAGCCCTGGTGGGATGCAGGGCGCTGGTGGTGACTCCTCCATCCCTCACCCTCGCTCTGTCCCAGGGGGAAGTTCGGGAAGGTGTACCGGCTGCGGGAAAAAGCCTCCGGCAAAATCCGTGCTGGGAAGTATTTCCGGACACGGACGGGCAAGGAGAGGGCGGCGGCCCGGGCAGAGGTGGAGCTGATGAACCTGCTGCAGCACCCCCGCCTGGTGCAGTGCCTCGCTGCCTTCCAGGGCCCCACGGAGCTCGTCATGGTGATGGAGTAGTGAGTGAGGGGGGCTGAGCCCTGCGTGGGGGCGGTGGGGACACTGCCCGGCTCTGCCGGGGGGAGCACTGGCGGTGGGGAGGGGTCCTTGTGCCGCGGGGTGCTGGGGGGGGATGTAGGATGGAAGGGGAACCTGCAGACCCCGGGTTAAGGTTTGGGAGGTGCTCCCAGTGTGCTGAGTCTGGGTTCCCCGGTGGGACTGCCCCTCCTCAGGGCTGGTAGATCCCAGTGGGGTCCCCAGCACCTTGTCGTGCCCAGCATGGCACTGGGGAGGGGTCCCTGTGCTGTGGGGTGTGGGATGGATGGGGAACCTGCAGACCCTGGAGATAAGGGTGGTGAGATGGAACCAGAGCATCAGGTCCGGGTTCTGTGGTGGGGCTTCCCCTCCTCGGGCATGGCAGACCCCCCCAGTGGGGTCCCAGCCCCTCGTTGTCCCCAGCGTGGCAGGGGGGGAGCTCTTTGAGCGCATTGTGGATGACGACTTCGAGCACACGGAGCCCAGCAGTGCCCAGTACGTGAGGCAGATCCTGGAGGGGCTGCAGTTCATGCACGGCCGGGCCATCGTCCACCTCGACCTCAAACCCGAGAACATCGTCTGCGTCAGCCCCGACAGCCGCTGCGTCAAGATCATCGACTTCGGCCTGGCACGGAAGCTGGGTGGGCAAGGGTGGGGGTCCTGGGGTCTGGGGCAGGGATTGTGACCGTCACGGGGACAGGATTTGGCCCAGAACATCAACCAGGAGCGCGGTGTCCTCCTGCCTTGGTGCCACCAAACCTGGCCCTTCCTGGTGACAAGATGCTCTGGGGAAACCCACGTGTCCCCAGCCCTGCTGCTGAGGTGGAGACCCCCAAGACCCCTGTGGCTGTGGGTGCCCAGGAATGCTCTAAGAGAGCACCAAGACTCGTGATGGGTCCTCGGGGGTGGCAGCTCCATGGGCACGGGGGCTCATCCACTGATGGGGGCTGGCGTGTCACTGGGCTGCTCCAGGGGGGTCCCAGCTGGACGTGTGTCCTGGGGAGGTCCCAGACAGACACGTGCCCCTCCATCTCCTCTGCAGCTCCAGACACCCCCGTGAAGGTGTTACACGGCACCCCTGAGTTCATGGCCCCAGAAGTGGTGGCCTTCGAGCCCGTGAGCTTCTCCACGGACATGTGGAGTGTTGGTGTCATCTGCTACATCCTGTGAGTGGCCTCCTGGGAACAGGCAGCTGGGGCTGGAGGGGAGCCCGAGCTGCCACTGATGTCCTGGGGTCACCTCTGCAGGCTGAGCGGGGAGTCCCCCTTCCAGGGGGACACAGACATGGAGACGCTGAGCAACGTCACAGCTGCCCGGTGGGACTTTGAGGAGGAGACCTTCTCTGAGATCTCCCCCCAGGCCAAGGATTTCATCAGCCAGCTGCTGCAGAAGGACCCCCGGTAGGACCCAGGGGTGGAGTTGGGCAGGGGTTTGGGGTGCTGGGGGGGGTGTGCTCTGTGCAGCCGAGGGTCTGATGGTGGAGCAGCCCCCCCGTGACCACCCCGTCTGTCCCAGCCACCGGCTCCCCAGTGCAGGGGCTCTGCTGCACCCCTGGCTGCAGCACCCCCAGCCCAGCAGCCCCAAGGCGCTGTCCAAGGACAGGATCAGGCAGTTCCTGACGCGGCGCAAGTGGCAGGTACTGGGGGGATGATCAGGGTGTTGGGATGGGGGTGGCTCTGGGTGGGGCTCAGTGCTCCTTCTCTTCCCTGCAGAAAACAGGGAAAGCCCTGCTGGCCCTCAACAGGCTGACCCTGCTGTCCCAGAGCCTGGAGAGGAAGGCGTCAGAGGCTCAGGATGAGGAAGGTGATGGCCCCAAAACACCCATCAACCCTTCTCTCTGCTCTGCCATCCCCACCTTGGGCTCCCGGGCAGCTTCTGCCTCTTTTTGCTCCACCCTGCCCTGGTGCCACTAAACACCCAGGCATGTCCCCACAGTGCCATTTCTGCTCCATGACCCAAGGTTCCTTCCATCCTCATCCCTCTGGTGCAGCCTTGGAGTGGGTGGATCCCACTCTGGGTGTGATCCAGATCTCTTGGGATCCAGAGCTGATCCCTCCAGCACAGGAGGGAGGTGATGACTCCTCACCATTCCCTCTGCCCCTCTCCCACAGGCCAAGGCTGCAGCCCAGAAGAGGAACAACCCTCCAGGGCTCTGCCCACACGGGGTCCTGGTTCCTCAGAGCTGCTGACAGAGCAAGAGGAGGAGGATGGCAGGAGCACTGCAGCCCCAGGGGAGACAGAGCAGTGACAGCGAGGCTGTGTCACCCCCCTCCTGGAGCACCTAGAGCAGCTGAGGAGAGAGGAGCAGGGAGGTGGTACCCCCTCCAGCAGCTCACAAGGTGACCCCTCCAGCCTGCGGTGGATCCAGACCCCAGACCCCCTCTCCTGTGGTGAACTCTGGGGTCCCACAGTGTCCCTGTGCTGGTGTGGGGACAGCTGTCCCTGCTGTCCCTGCAAGGAGCCCGTGCTCCTGTCTCTCCATGGCCACCCAGGCTCGAGCTGTCACCAATAAAGCACCAAGGATCTCTGTGCTCCCTGTGCTGGTCCTTTTCCCCCCCAAAATCACTGGGAGGGGTGAGAAAGAGCTGCCCAAGCTGTCCCCCTCTTTGGGAGCTGGTATTGGGCTCTCCCCACCCTTCTCTTCCCCAGCAGTGATGTTGGCCCTGGGCACAGGGGCTGGGGTGGCTTTGGCAGCAGCCCTGAGTGTCCCTCACTTGGAAGTCTTCCCTTGTCATCAGGAGGGTTTGGGGTCGTGTCCTGAGCCCACAGGAGCCACGATGAGCCCTGGGCCCTTCCAGTCTTTCCATGTCTGGGCCAACTCTGGTACCAGCAGGGCTGGCAGGAGCCCAGGACCTGCTGTGTGAGCTCCATCCTCAGCCTAAGGAGGCAGCTGGGGAAGAGCTGGGTGTGTGGAAGCCCTGGAGAGGAACAACCTGGACACTGGGCTGACCATGAGCTGTCAGTGGGCCCCTGGTACCCAGGGGGTGAGTGGGGTCCTGGGCTGCAGGATGTACTGCCAGCAGGATTTAGAGGGGATCCTTCCCTAATTTAACACTGGTGAGGCCACTCCTGGAGGTCTGTGCCGTGTTCTGGGGTCCCAAGTACAACAGAGGCACCTGGGGGAGGGCTCCATGAAGGATGGGGGAGAGACCGGAGCCCCTCATCCATGAGGAACGTCTGGGAGAGATGGGAATGCAGCTGGGTGCAGGGAGGATGGAGCCAGGCTCTCCTCAGCAGTGCCCAAAGTCCGTGGGCACCTCCTGAAACACAGGAGGCTCCACCTGAACCTCACAAAACACCTTTTTACTGGTGATGGAGCGCTGGCACAGGGAGCCCAGGGGGGCTGTGTGCTCTCCATCCTTGGAGATATTAAAAAACCTGTCTAGGCCTGTCCTGGGCAACCTGCTGGGGCAGGGGGAGGGACCAGGTGCCCTCCAGAGTTTCCTTCCAGCGTCAACCATTGTGTGATTCTGTGAAAACCCACCTCCTGTGGAAGCTGGTGGCCACCATGGCAGGAGGATCCACGGCAGGATTTGCCATTCTTCGGGCTCCAGAGATGGCAGAACAGCCAGAGTGCTTGTGGCCCCTTGGCTGGGGGGCTCCATGGCTCTTCTCTGCTCTTCTCCCTGTCCCCTCGCTGTGGCACTGACCCTCCAGCTGACAGGGCTTTTTTATCAGTGCCCAGGCCTGGCTCGAGTTTCTGTGGCAAAGGGCTGTTCCTGTTAATGATGTCCATGGCTCTGACCACAGGAAGGCCAGAGGGCCGTGGGGTGGCAGATTGTCACAGGCCCTGCCCAGGGCTCGGGGGTCTTGTCTCTTGTTGGAAGCAGGAGATGGAATTTAAGAAGGAATTTAATTTGGAAATTGGTGTGTGGACCTCCTGCTGGAGAAAGAAGAGCCCTTTTGGGACCCTCTGGAGAAAAGGAGGCTCAGAGGGGAACTTCTTGATCTCTCCAACTCCCTGACAGGAGGGTGGAGTGGGGGGGGTCAGGCTCTGCTCCCAGGGAACGAGGGCCAGGAGGAGAGGAAAAGGCCTCAAGCTGTGCCAGGGGAGGTTTAGTTTGGATATTGGGGAAAATTTCTTCATGGAAAGGGTTGTCCAGCCCTGCACAGGCTGCCCAGGGAAGTGGAATCCCTGTCCCTGGAGGGATTTAAAAGCCCTGTGGATGTGGCACTTGGGGACACGGGTCAGTGGTGGCCTTGGCAGTGCTGGGGAAACAGTTGGACTCTGATCCCAGGGGGCTTTTCCAACCTGAATGATTCCATGATTCCTTGCAGGGTCCAATCCTGGCCCTCCAACAGCTGGGTGAGACACCTCCTGACAGAACTCACCTGCTTCCTCTCCCTCCCCTGTTTTCAGCAGGAGCTGTGGATTCGCTGCTCCAAGCGGGAGGAGAAACTCCTTAGAAACAAATAAACAAACAGAAATATTCCACATTCTACCCACAGCATTTGTTTTCCCATCCCAGAGTACCAGAGGGAGGCTGAGGAACCCCTTTCACACACATCACATCCCAGTTTTTGCCCGTTCTCTATCCCATGTTTTCCTCCTTACACAGATTCCAAACCCATCCCCTGGGAACCCTCTGAATGTGCTCAAGCTGCAGATGATAAGCAAACACCAAGTTGTTATAATCAATCCCTTGATGAGCTATTTACCATGTGACACTACCAAAATATTTCTGGTTGGGAATGATGTTTATCTTCCTCTGTTTTCCAAACTCCTTCACGGCCTGGAAAATCCAAGTCCCAGGGCTCCAGACACGGAGTTTCTTGCTCTAATCCTGTATTTTATACTGTAAAAACTGATTTACCTTCAGAAGAAGCTGGTTCCTGGTTTCTTCTCCTTCCCATGGCCTAGCACATTAAAATGTGCAATTCAGGAAGGAATGAAGAGTGGAATTATACCTGGAACTCATTACAGCCTCTGAGAAATTCAGCAGCACTGAAAATAGAATTCTAATCTCAGCATCTCAGAGGCGAAGGAATTAAGATCTTGGTCCTTCCATCATGACAGACCCTTGGACTGACCTTCACTTCAGGCACACAACTTCAGAGCAGGTCCTGAAATCCTCAGGAATCCTCCACGGAGGCAGAAAGGATGAATGATGCCCTCTGGAGAACTTTGAGAGGGGGTTCCCACCTTATCTCAGGTCCAACTCCTTGGAGGGACGTGAGGTGGGGTCAGCTGTCCAAACATCCTCAAGCTTCTGGAGCTTAATCCTCTAGTTCCAAGGGATTTGATAACCCTGGGTTTACCCTGGGCTGCATGGTCTAGGTCTGGGAATGCTTGGTTGGATGAGGGAATGCTGCCTGGGTAGCTCCAAAGTCAAGAAACAGTTTGTTTGTTGCTTTGCACACCTACAAATTCTGTGGAACCCCCCCCAGAAGATACAATGTCCTGCCTGAGTGTTTTCCAGGGAATGGAAATTAATTAAAAAACCAAACTGAAATCAGCCCTAATGTAAAAAATGTAGCCCTGTGCACATGTTGAAGATGATGATTTGAATGTGTCGATTCTAGAACGGTGTTTTTAAGGACTTTTATTGCAGGGAGTGAAGAGCCTTGGGGTAATTTGAGCTGTCGGATAAACCTTCATGTATCAAACACCAGCAAAGAGCTGAAAGGAGAGAAGACACGAGGGTATGAGGACTTGGCGGTGACAAGGACATGGTGGTGACAGAGGCAGGGGAGGCTCAGTGGAGGGAGAAGCTGCAGGTGCTGAAGGAACATCAGGAACTCCTGAGTTGTGATGCTTTCACCTCTCGGCGAAGCTCCCCAGGGGAAGGGGACACCCACCGGGGTGTCCTCACTTCCCAAAGGTCCCAGCCATGTCCCAGCCAGGTCCTGAGGGGTCAGGAGGCTCTCTGTGGTCACAGGAGCTCAACAACCATCACCCCAAGGTGCAGCACCCAGGGGAAGAGCAGAGGAGAGTCATGAAGTCCCCCCAGCCAAGGGACCACAGCTGGTTTGGGTGGTCTGGATCCAATCCCTGGAGACATCCCTGTGCCTGGGGTTGGGATGAGGAGTGGGCAGGACGCCCCCTCCTCCCCCAGCCTCGTCCTCCTGGTATCACTGGTGCAAGGACTGCCACGTCCAACCTGCACCAAACACCTCCAGCAGCCCCAAAATCCGGCCTTGGCTCTCTTTCCAGCTCGGTTCTGTGCCCGTGGGAATCAGCAGAACCCAAAATCCCTCATGGAACACCTCCCTGTGCAAAGGGGGCCGCGAGCCCCGTCCTTCCCAGCGCAGAGGCCCCGTTCCAGAGCCGGCTCTGGCAGCTCCATCCCCCACCGCAGCCCTGCCCGCGGCCAGGAGATGGTACTGTTGGGCTGGTCCTGCTCCTCCCGGCATCCAGAGCCTCGGCTGCCCCTTCCCGAGGTCCTCTCGCCTTTCCCAGCCGCGGGCAGGAAGGTGTTGCCAGCGTGGGCCTGGGAGCTCTGGCAGCACTTGGGTTTCATCCCAAACAGGTCACCCAGAGAAGCTGTGGCTGCCCCTGGATCCCTGGAAGTGTCCAAGGCCAGGTTGGACGGGGCTTGGAGTGACCTGGGCTGGTGGAAGGTGTCCCTGCTCATGGCAGGTGGGGTTGGATGGGCTCCAGTGTCCCTCCTGGCCCAAAGCATTCCATGATTTTATGATCCTGGTGTGCAGCTGGATGCTTATGGGGGTCCCAGACCTTTGGGGTCCCCTCTGCCCAACAGCAGAGCCCGTCCCCGGTGTGGGACAGCTCTGGGGGCAAGCCCTGGCCCTACACATGGTCCTGGTGACATCTTCCCCCTGAACACCCCTCTGGGACTGCACTGGGGTGGCTGTCCCTGTCCCCACCAGGCGTCACAACTCCTTCCCTTAAAAACCCGGATCAGGGAATGAGACGTAAAATATTTAATGAGACACCGAAATATTTAATGAAACAAAAATATTTAAGCCACAAAATGGAGCTTTGGAAAATGAGAACAAACCCAAATGTGGGTGACCCCAATTTTGGTGCCGCTGAGCTGCCCCACGGCTCCTCCCCGACCTCCCGGATCCCCGTGGATGACGCAGCGTCACGCCGGGGGAACCTCGGGAAGCGGTGGCGTGTCCCCCACCTGGAATTTGGGGTTTGCAGAGGGCGGGACAGGTCGGCAGAACAGGTCTGGCACGTTCCCCTGGTCCCTGCGGTGCCGAGGGCCGGGTCTGACACCTCGGCAGGGCTTGGGGGGACCGGAGATGCCGCGAGAGCCGGACGGACACGGAGACGTTGGAGTGTGGCCTGGGAGCTGTGGGGAAAGGTCTGGAGCACGGCGGATCCTGGGATCCCCTCCGGGTCCATTGCCCACCCATCGCTCAGCAGAGGTCTCCTCGCATCCTAGGCTTGGGCAAATTTTGCCAGATCTCAGTAAATCTCACCAAATGGCACCAAATCTCACCAAATATTGGTGAATCTCACCAGATCTCACCGAGTGTCATCGGTGAACCTCACCAGATCTCACCAGACCTCAGGGAATCTCACCAGATCTCAACAAATATGGGTCAATCTCAACAAATAGGGGTCAATCTCACCAAGTCTCATCAAGTCTTGACAAATCTCAATAAATGTACCTGAATGTCACCAAATCTCACCAAATATTGGTGAATCTCACCAGATCTCACCGAGTATCATCAGTGAACCTCACCAGACCTCAGCCAATCCCACCAAATCTCAGGAAATCTCACCAGATCTCAACAAATAGGGGTGAATCTCAACAAATAGGGGTGAATCTCACCAAGTCTCATCAAATCTCAACAAATCTCAGTAACTGTCCCCGAATGTCACCAAATCTCCCCAAATCTTGGTGAATGCCATGAAATGTCACCATATATTTGTGAGTCTCACCCAATCTCGGTCAATCTCACAGAATTCCACTGGCCCTGTCCCACGAGCCCCCTGCCCATGGCACCCCTTGTTATAAGATAAAAAGGACATAAAATAAAAAATAAAATAAATGAAATGATAAAAAATAAAAATAGACATTTTAAAATAGAAAATAATAGAATGAAATGAGATTGACATGAAATAATTTATTGAAATGTAATAAAATAATAGATGCGTAAGTTAAGAAATAAAATAAAAATTAAAGTAAAAATTAATTATATAAATAGAATGAAAGTAAATTTAAAAAGTAAAAATGAAATAAAAGCAAAACCAATTTTAAAAAGAAAAGTAAGGGAAGATAAAGTAAAATAAAGATAAGTAAGGATAAAGCAAACTAAACTAAACTAAAATAAAATAAAATAAGTATAATTTATTTTTAAAAATAATAATAAATAAAAGACATCAAAATAAAATTTAAAAATAATAAAAAATAAAATAATGAAAATTTATAAAAATCTAATAAATAATAAAGTAAAAAAAATTAAAAATAACAGAAGATAAACTAATAAATAATAATAAAAATTAAACAAAAATAAAATAAAAATAAATAAAATAATAAATTATAACAAAATAAGTAACATTTATTTTAAAATAAATAAAAGACACTAAAATAAAAATAAAAATGATAAAAAATTAATAAAACAAATAAAAATGAAGTAAAATAAAAAATAAATAATTAAATAAATGAGTAAAATAAATAATACAAATAAAATAAATAATAAAATAAAATAAAATAAAAATATCAAGAGATAAAATAATAAAAATAAAATAAATAAAATAATAAAATGTAATAAAATATAATAAAATATAATAAAATATAATAAAATGTAATAAAATAAAATAATAAAATAAAATACGGTAAAATAAAATGAGTAAAAGTTAATTTAAAAAATAAATCAAAGACATTAAAATAAATATTAAAAAATAAAATATTAAATAAAAAAATCAAATATTAGTAAAAATAAATGAAATAATAAAATATAATAAAATACATAAAATTTAAATAAAATAAAACATCAAATACAGCCGGACTCAGCCCGGCCGCAGCAGCGCCGCTGAGCTCCCTCCCCGCAGCCGGGGCAGGTGCCGGGGCCGCCTCTGGCTGCGGCCGGGGCGGGGGGGCGGGGGGGGCGGGCTGAGGCGTTTATAGCGCGATAACGCCCCGGAGAAGTTGCAAACGCCGGCGAGCGGCGGCGGGGACGGGCGAGGACGAAGCTCCGCGCGGAACCGCAGCCGCCCCGCACCGCCCGCCATGGGCAACGCGGCCGGGGGGCTGGAGGGGGGCGCGGCGGGGCGGGAGCCCCGCGATCACCGCCCGCAGCCCGGGCCCCCCCCCGCCGCCGCCGCCCCGCCGCCCCCCCGCCAGCCCATGCCCGGGGCCGCCGAGCTGGAGGAGAGGTTCGGCCGCGTCCTGGTGAGCGGGGACGGGGGTTCGGCGGGGAGACCCCCCCGGGGAGGGCGGAGGGGGTGCTGGGGGGGATCCGCGGTGGGGGTCCCGGACTTGCCACGGGGGACCGGCTGGAGGGGGTCCGGAGCTGCCGAGGGGGGTCTCTGAGCATCCCTGCCGGCACTGGCATCGTTAGCACCGGTATCACCGCCGTCATCATTCTAATTACCATATTTTTACTATTATTCCATTAATCACTTAATTTATTATTTAATTAGCATTCTTATTAATAGCGATGACTTCCCCCTCTGCTACCCCGTTCCCCCCGGGGACACTCAGCCCTGCCCCGGGATGAACCCCCAGCCGCTCCCGTCCCCCCCCCCGTTGCTCTCACGTTTGGAGGGGGGTCCCAGCCCCCCAAACTCTTGGGGTGACCCCGAGTCCCCGGACCCCGCGGAGGCTCCGCCATGGCGGGATCGGCGGCAGGGCCGGAGCGCCGCAGGCAGCCGGTGCTGCGGATGGCGGTGCTTCACTCACCTCTTCCTCCTCCTCCTCCTCCTCCTCCTCCTCTTCCCCGCAGCTGGGGAAGCCCCCCAGCATCGCTCCGGGCCTCCCGCGGGGGGTGGGAGCCGCGTTCCCATGGGATGGATGGATGGATGGATGGATGGATGGATGGATGGATGGACGGATGGATGGCAGCTCTTGGAACACGGGGCGCTGCGGGAGATCGGCTCCCGCCCGCTCCCTCCGTCCTTGAGCGGGGCCGGCCGGCCGTGACCTTCGCGCCGGGATGGCCGCGGGGAGCCGGTCACGCTCCACCCGCGTCCCTGCCCTCCCCAGAAATGCTCCGTGGAAAAAAAAAAAATCGCTGCTTTAATCCCCTGATCCCCCCGGGATCCCGGGAGATGGAGCCTGTTCGCCGATCCCGTGCCGGGAGCGGCCGCGGGCAATGAGCTCCCACGGATGCACCGGGACCGGCTCGGTGGGATCCCCCATCGCAGCCCCGGAGCACGAATTATTTGGAAGCTTTTAAACTCATGGCGTTTGGGGGATTATTTGGGGATGAGCATCTCAGCCAGAGCCTCTGGAGGTTCTCTGCCCCCAGCACGGGCTTGGGGGCGGTGATGGCAAAGGGCTCTGCCAGGCGGGACCCCGGGGGACCCCCGGAACCCCGAGGAGGGGGTTTGCCGTGGGACGCCCATTTTGGCGGGTGGCTGAGCAGGGTGGTGGCGCCTGTGATGGCTCCGAGTGTCACAGCAGTGGTGGCAGGAGGGGACAGGCAGCCGGGGAACCTCGGGGTGTTTCCGCTGCAGCCGCGAGGCCCCAGGAAGCGCCGATTTCCGCCGGGCTGGGTCCAGCAGGTTGGAAATCCTAAAAAAAATGGTCAGAAAAGGGAAAAACGCTGCTCCAGGCCCTCGGTGCCACCCTGTCTGCCTTCATCCCGAGGGAAAGCCCTTTCCCAGGAGCAGGGGGCACCCAGGGGGCTGCGGATGGGAACCGGGTGTCTTGTGAAACTGGTTGTCCCAATCCCGCTTCCTCCTTTCGCAGGGTCCCTTCCCCCTTCTCACAGCCCGGGGGGATGGGACGGGGGGTCCTTCTGCCCTCACCCACCACAAACAGGTTCCTTGACTCTGGATTCAACTTTTCCACCTCCTGAGCTGGTGAGATCAGTGATGGAGCAGAAGGTGATGAGTTGGGAATCTCCCGGTGGGACATGATCCAGATCTGACACATTGCCGTGGTTACAGTGATGCTTTGAGAGCTCAGTGCAAACCACTTTTGGGCCAGACATCCCGAACTAGGAGAGCTGTTGGGGCAAAGCCTTGGCATAAGAGCTAATGGGGGAGCCCAGGGGTTCCAAACTGCCATTGGGAAGGGGACGGATAAATCCACCACATGCCAAGAAATGAGGAATTTAGTTTTCCCAGAACTTTATTCCCCAAAAGTTGGCTCCTTCCCATCTGGGGCACTGTGGCAGATGTCACTTTGGCAGAGTGATGGGAGGGTTGTCCTGTGCCAAGTGGTTTGAGATGTGCCGAGGTAGCTTTTTGGGATGGAGCGGAGGAAGAGCATCTTTGCTGCTGGGATGGGGATGCTCAGATGCTCCTGCTTGGAGCAGTGAGGATTCTTCTCCCTTTGCACATCAAGAGGCAATACTGGGAATATAGAAGTGAAATTGCAAGTTGGGATGTGGTGGAGGGAAAGCCAAAATCATCTGGGAAAGCCAAAATCATTAGGCTGGAGCCTTGGGAATGGGGGCCGATGGGGACGGGGTCTGCTCTGTCCAGGAGCTTTCCCTGATCTGGGCTTTGCCGCCTCTTCTCCCAGGTCCTGGGGGAGCACATGGCACACGTCACCGCTGCAGATGTTTGCAGATGTTTGCAGATGTGCTCTTGGCCTCAGGGACGGGTCACCAGTGAGCCCTGGCCGAGTGTCGGCCTCGACTCAACCAGGAAACAAAGCTGGTGCTCGGCTTCCTGCTGGATCCACCCCCAGCCTGGTCCCAGCCCGGTGTCCAGGGCTGGCTGGGTGATGTGGAGCTGTGCTGGGGTGTCCCCAGGGGGGACATGTGCCCTGCGTGGGGAGGGAAGGGCTCTGTGAGCCGAGAGCCACTGAATCAGGGACTGGAGAGGGTGTTTGTCCTCATGCAGGACTCCCCCGTGTGAACCAGGAGGGCATCCCAGGGTGGGCAGGCAGGGATCCAGCAGGGATGAGGACATGGGGGCAGAATCAGGCTCCTCTCCCCAGCCTGTGCTACAGCAGCTTCCCAAAACAGAGCCAGAGCCGCAGGCGGCAGCGGCCGCCCCCTCAGCCACCCCCCCCCCGGCGGGACCGGCCGTCCTGGGGACCCGCCCGCTCCTCCTCCGGCCTGTCCCCGCCTGCCACGGGGAGGGGTTGGGACCTGCATGGATCCAGGGAGGCCCTGATGGGATGAGCTCACTCCGGGAGTGTCACCCAGCCTGGCTTGCCAGGGGAGCCCTGTGTGGGCTGATCCCAGGATCCTCTGAACCAGGATCCAGCCTGATGCCAGTGCTGAACCTCAGCAAGAGGCAGTCAAGGTCACTGGAGGGAACACCATGGGACAGCTGGCACTGCAGGGTTGGGCATGTCCCAAACCCCCTCGGGTGGGAGCATTGCGCTCCATGGCCACGAGGGATGGAGCATCCCAAGGCTGGAGCATCCCAAGGCTGGAGCATCTGAGGGATGGAGCATCCCAGAAGCCCCACACAGGGGTGGGATGAGGGTGCTGGGTGCCAGCTGGAGGGCGCTGGATGAGGGGAGGTACAATGTGGCTGCTGGGGGCAAGTCCCTGTGGCTTCTCCATCCTTGTCCCCCAAAGAGGAGGAGGAGGAGGACTGATTCCTTTGGCCTCCCAAACACCTGGAGATGTTTGTCCTTCCTGCAGCCAGAGCCCCTAAACCACCACCTGGGGTGAGTCCCTGCCCCATCCCCTTCCCTGTGGTGGGCAGGGTTGGTGCCTGGACTGGGATAACCTCCCGTACCATGTGCTGTCAAGGCTTTCCATCCCCTTTCCATGGATGCACATCCCCTTGTGCCACAGAAATGGTGCTCCCAGAGTTCAGCCTGGTTCTCAGGCAGCTCGTTGGAGTTTTGCAGCACAAACCCTCCCGTGGAAGATGCCGGAACGTTCTGTGCCGGGGTTTGGAGCAGAGCTCGGCTCAGCCCGGCTCCGCTCACGTGTGGAACAAAAAGAAGTGTCTGACACCCAAAATAGCTCCGTCCCCCACTGGCCAGGAAAGGAAAAGGTCGTTTTGTACCAGAAAATGATGTCGGTGCCGCTTCACCTCCCCCCAGTCTTGGTTTTATTGTCAGGCAAAGCCCGGCTCAACCCCACGGCCGGTGTCAGCTCCCAGCTGGCAACAACCCGGCACTGGGCACGGCTGGGATGGCACTGTGGGCTTGGCACCTGTGTCACAGCAGGGGACATTTGGGGCACCTACTGAGTGACATGGTGGGCTATGAGGCTGGGGGAGGCTGGGAAGCCCCACACGGGAGTGGGAGGAGGGTGTTGGGTGCCAGCTGGAGGGTGCTGGGTGAGGGGAGGTGGGACAAGTCCCTGTGGCCTCTCCATCCTTGTCCACCAAAGAGGAGGAGGAGAAGGAGGAGGAGGAGGAGGAGGAGGAGGAGGAGGACCGAGTCCTTCCTCTGACACCTCTGGAGTGCTGCTGCTCTGCCCCACATCACCCCATCAGCCAGCCCCACATCACCCCAGCACCCAGCCCCACACCTCCCACACCACCGGTCCCCCCTCCCCAGCAGGAAACGAGAACTGGTTTCTTTGTTTCTTTGTGCTGCTGCTGACGCTCCACAGGAGCCACTTCCTCCCCCCCAGCACCACATGCCCACCCGGGACGCAGCCACCACCCAGTTTGTACCCAAATTGTGCCACATCCTGCCACCCCTCCCAGCCCTGCCCTCGAGGAGGGGACTGCGGGGCCTGGTGGGCAGAGCCACCCCTGCAGGGACATCCCAGCATCCCCCTGCCCCCCCTGCACCCCTGTGGTGGGTCCTGTCCTCCTGGAGACACAGAGTCCTGGTTTGTTCAGGTCCCACACGTGGTGACTGGAAGAGCTGGTCCATGTGGCAGATGCCGAGGGGAGTGTCCCACAGAGGGTGCCACAGGTGCTGATGGAGCTCTAGGTGGGGTGTTTGGGTGCATGGTCCCTCTTGGCACAGCTCTGTCCCTTGGTCTGACCCTCCTGGAGGGCCTCACCCATCCCAAGGATGGTAGCTTGGGGACCACGAGGACAGGGCTGCCCTGCCATGGGGACATCCAGGTGCTGCTGTCACCTTGCCCATCCCAGGACCCACCTGGCTCCAGTGGCTTCACGGTGAGGCTATTTCTGACCCTGCACCCTAATTGTACCCCCTGCCCAGCTCCCCGTGTGAGCCATCCCCTGGCCAAATCCAGCTCCTCCCGCCCACATCTCCTGGTTTTGGCTCCTTGCGAAAGCAGCTCGACAGGTCCTCAGGGGAGGCGGTGCCGAGGTTCCCCTTCCTGCCGCCACCGTGGCACCTCCAGTCTTGGCCCTGCTCCTCTGTGGGCAACCCACCCCCTGGGAGATGCCTTTCCCCAGGGATGTGGTTGTTCCAGGGCTGCATGCACCCCACGTCCCCAGGGCTGGGGTTAAAGGTGACCTGGGGCCGGGCGGTGCCTCCCAGGCCAGCTGATCACCAAAAACTGGGTGTTTTGGCAAAATAAACCACCCGTGACCCGAGCTGAGCTCCAGCCTGGCCTGGGCCATGGTGGGACACCCCGGGGTGTCCTGCCGTGCCACCAGAGCACCCTGGAGGCGGGAGCTGCCCCGGGGCCTCCCGGAGCAGTTTTGGCAGCGCCTGGTGCTGCTCCGAGAGCGGAAACCACGTCACGTCCTGCCGGGGCGGCTGAGGGGGCTGTGGTTGTGCAACGGTGGCACGGAAGGACACCAGCCCCTGCCCTGACATCGTGGCTCTCAAGAAACACTGATTTCCCCAGCCGGGCCTGTCACGCACCCCTGGCTGTGGGACGGGGCGTGACTGTCACCCTCGAGCAGGGCCCGGCCTCCTGGGCCCCTCAGCTGTGTCACCAGCCCGTGTCCCCACCCCTCAGCCCGGGCACTTGGCGCACTCATGACATGGATGGACGGGGCCAATTCTTCCTCCTGTCCCCCACCTGCCTTCCCCTTGGCGACCCCCAGGTGGGGACATATCCATGGGATGCTCACATTGTGGGAATGGTGGTGTTCCCATCCTTCCACCAAAGTCCCCATGATTCTATCAGTGTCTCCATCCTGGGAATGGTGTTCTCATTGTCCCATCGGTGTCCCCATCGTCCCCCCAATGTCCCCATCATCCCATTGGTGTCCCCACTGTCCCACTACTGTCCCCATTGTCTCACCAGTGTCCCGATCTTCCCACTGGAATCCTCGTGTCCCACCAGTGTCCCCATTCTCCCATGAGTGTCCCCCTCCTTCCACCAGTGTTCCCATGTTCCACAGGTGTCCCCATTGTCCCACCAGTGTCCTCATCCTCCCACCAATGTTCCCATTGTCCCACCACTGTCCCCATCATCTCACCGCTGTCCCCATCTTCCCACTGGAATCCTTAAGTCCTACCAGTGTCCCCATTGTCCCACTGCTGTCCCCATCCTCCCACTGGTGTCCCCATTGTCCCACTGGTGTCCCCATCCTCCCACTGCTGAGCAAGGACAGCCGGTGCTGGGTGAGCAGTGGGTGCTGCAGCCCTGGGGGGTGTTTTTGGGGTGACCCCCCAATGCTGCCACCCTTCACCCCACAGAATTCCATGAACCTGCCCCCAGACAAGATGAAACTGCTCAACCAGTACGACAACGAGAAGAAGTGGGAGCTGATCTGTGACCAGGTGAGGTCTGGGCTCCCTGTCCCCAAGTGCCACTCGTGGCACCCAGCTGTGCCCAGCGCTGCCACCCACCTCGTTAGTGGCAGGGCACCTCGTTAACCTCATTAAGCATTGGTGGAGCGCAGGGCTGGGGACAGGGACACGGTGGCTGCTGTGCAGGTCCCCGTGCCCTGGCAGGTGGCCCAGTTTCAGCCTCTCCCTGGGGTTTGTAGGAGCGTTTCCAGGTGAAAAACCCTCCGTCCGCCTACATCCAGAAGCTGAAGAGCTACTTGGACACGGGTGGTGTCAGCAGGAAGGTGAGGGGTCCCCCCTGCACCCAACCCCCTGGTCCCCGTCCCACACTGGGCACAGGGACAGTGCCAATGGTTGTCCCCATCCCACAGTTCAAGAGGCGAGTGCAGGAGTCCACGCAGGTGCTCAGGGAGCTGGAGATTTCCTTGAGGACCAACTACATTGGGTAAGGATGGGGTGTCATTGTCACCCAGCGCTGCCACCGTCCCTGGGATGGGGATGGACACGCTGCTGGCTCTGGATGGGTGGTGACAGCAGGATGTGGAGGCTCGTGGCCTCATCCTGTCCCCCTGGAGGGGCTCTGATGGGAGGCTGGGGGTGCTGTAGGACCTGAACCCCGTGTTGGCTGTGGTACCCCCTGAGTGCCAGGAGGGACCCTGCTCCCACCCAGGGTGTCCCGACCCCTTGTGGGGTGGTGGGTGCCCATGGTCCCTGGGGCCAGGCTGTTCTGTCCTGGCAGCAGTGGCAGTGGTGGCAGTGGTGGCAACAGAGCCCTCGGGCTGTGCCCCCCACACATCAGGAGTGGGGTTCCCCATGGCACTCACCTGCCTCGGAGAGCTGCCAGCTCATGGTGCCACCTCATGTCCCCAGCGTGTCCCACCCTCGCTGGGGACCTCTGACCAGGGGCTGGCTCTGCTGAGGGTCTGGGGGCAGGGGAAGGGAGGATGAGGGGGGTTGGTGGAGCACACTAACTCTCTGCACCCTCCAGCTGGGTCCAGGAGTTCCTCAACGAGGAGAACAAGGGGCTGGACGTGCTGCTGCAGTACCTCGCCTTCGCCCAGTGCTCCGTCGCGTACGTGCCCCCTGGGTGTCCTGTCCCCAAGGCTGGGATCAGCCTCCCCTGGGGCTCAGTGGGGCTGGGGGGTCCCTGGGGATGCCCTCCCCTGTCATCAGAGTGATGGAGCTCCAGATGCTCCATGACTGGGGTTGAGCAGGGCACACCCAACATCCCTGGGGACTCCAGAGGGGCATCTGCCCACGCTGGGGTGCCACATCTCACCCGTCCCCGTGTCCCCACGGGCCGCCAGGTATGACATGGAGAGCGCAGAGAACAGCAGCCCCGGCTCCGACAAGGGCAAGGAGCAGTCGCTGGAGGACCTGAACAAAAGCACCTCCTCGTCCCCCACCCAGGGCTCCTCCAAACCGCGGCCCCTCACTGTAAGGTAACGTGTGGTCCCGTCCCCAACTGTGCCCTGTCCCTGTGCCGTGTCCCCCCCGCTCCCCGCCTCGCTGCACCCCCCCCCCCGCCCCGGCCGCGCCGTGCTTGGAGAGGGGCCCGGCAGGGAGACGCAGGCCCGGCCCCAAAAATGGGTCTCCATAATAGGCCCGGTGCTAAAAGTGGGTCCCCAGTGCTGGTTTGGGGGGACAAAGCTCTCAAGGGCTGAGCCCTGCCTGGAGCTGGGCTGGATCTGTGCCCCCCACTGCGACCCTCATGGGATGCTCTGGGTAAAACCCAGGAATAAGCAAAAATTGGAGGTACTGGAGGTTTTGAGGGGAGCAAATCGTACCCCGCTGGTTTAAAGCCGGGTCGGAGGAACGGGCCTGTGTCCCCCCAAGCCGGTGCCAGTGGTTGGTGGCTCTCGCTTGGCGCCGCTCGCCCGCAGCCCCGTCTAACCCCGCTCTTCTCTTGCACGCTGCCGGGGACGCGCTGACGGTAGGTGACGGTGACGGGGCACCGGAGGGACGGGTCACCCCACGGGACCCCGCTGCTGGTCACCGGTATCGGGGACAGGGCCTACGGGGCATCCCCGGTGGGCGGGGGGGGGGGGTCCCGGGGACACCCCACCGCGGTCACCCCAGGAGCTGTAACGCGGCACCCCGGGGAGCGCGGGGGTCCCTCGCAGTCTGGAGCAGCTCCGGAGGAGGCGGGGTGTCCCTGCCAGCCCCAGGGACAGGTCAGGAGGGGACGTGGCACCCGCAGGGGGGTCCCGTCCTTTGTCCCCTACCCCCGTGTCCCCGAGCGCGGGTGCCCCCGGGGCGGCGCGGGAGCCCCGTTTCTCCCTCCTGTCCTGCAGGCTCTAACGCGCCTCCAGCTGCTGCCTCTCGAACCAGCACATCCACACCCTCCTCCGCCACGTCCGCCCCAGCGCCCCCTGCGGTGCCCCGGGCAGCGATGGGGACAGTGCCCCCAGGTCACCCGGCAGCTCCTGCCCGCCCCGGTGAGCCTCCGAGACCACCCGTGCGCACGAGGGGGCCCCAAAACCCACCCCACGGCCATCGCCCCGTCACCCCACCGCCCCGAGGGCTTCTAGACGGGCACGGGACACGGGGCTTTCTCCCGCGGGTGTTTCTCTCCCTGGTGTCCCCCCGCCCCCCCGCTGCCACCCCCCGAGCGCTGCCCCCTCCCCGCTTTGCGCTGCGCCCCCGGCCCCCCCGGCCCGCGCTCAGCCGCGCTCTCCCCGCCCAGGCTGAACCCCTCGCACAGCAGGAAGACGCTGCGCAACTCCCGCCTCGTCAGCCAGAAGGACGATGTCCACGTCTGCATCATGTGCCTCCGCGCCATCATGAACTACCAGGTGGGAGTGGGCGGGATCCGCGGGCATCCCGAAAAATCCCCAGCCCCCGCGGTGCCGGCGTCGGGGTGGGACCGGTTCTCCATCCCCCTGCTCCGAGATGTCCTCACTCAGCCTCCTTTCTGGTGGGCACCTGGCATGGGGGTGGCCCAAGGTCTCAGAGTGTCCTCGGGGTGGGGGCAGGAGGACACCGACCCCATTAATGCTCCTTTTTGCCCCCCAAGTCTGGCTTCAGCCTGGTGATGAACCACCCAGCCTGTGTCAACGAGATCACCCTGAGCCTCAACAACAAGAGCGCCAGGTAGGACCTGCCCCCTGTCCCTGTCCCCCTGTCCCCTCGCCCGCCCCACGGCCCTGACCCCCTCACACTCCATGTCTCCACAGGACCAAGGCCCTGGTGCTGGAGCTCCTGGCCGCTGTTTGCCTCGTCCGAGGTGGCCACGACATCATCCTGGCTGCCTTCGACAACTTCAAGGAGGTGAGTCCCCAGCAGGGACACCGGTCCCCACAGGGACAGCCCTGCTCTGGCTGGGTTCCTGCCTCAGTGTCCCCGTGTGTGGCAGAGCCCTGCCCCATCCTGACCACACCCATCCATGACTCACCTGGGGATGCTCCAGCTGTTGGGCTTAATGTCCCCACGCCAGCGTGTCCCAGGGCCAGGTCCCATCAGGGTTGGGATGGTGCCACTGGTGGGTGCCTGGTGCTCTGCCACCCCTCTGGGCACCCCCAGCCGTGTCCCCCTGGCCCTCAGCCCCCTGCTCCCCCCCAGGTGTGCGGGGAGAAGAACCGCTTTGAGAAGCTGATGGAGTATTTCCGAAACGAGGACACCAACATCGACTTCATGGTGAGCGGCTCATGGGGCCGGTGCTCTGCTGTCCCCAGGCCATCATGTCCCCAAGGGCTGCTGAGCCACCACAGTGTCCTGGGGGTGCCCTCTCCCAAGGGCTGCCAGGCTGTCGTGCTGTCCCCAAGCCACCGTGTCCCCAAGAGCTGCTGAGCCTCTGTGCTGTCCCCAGGCCTTCAGGTCCCAAAAAGCTTCTAAGGTGCCACACTGGCCCCAGAGCATCGTGTCCCCAAGGGCTGCTGAGCCACCCAACTGTCCCCAGGCCATCATATCCCAAGGGCTGCTGAGCCCCAGGTCATCATGTCCCCAAGGCCACTGCACTGTCCCCAGGCCATTAGGTCCACAAGGGCTTCTAAACCACCACACTGTCCCCAGGCCATCGTATCCCAAGGGCTGCTGAGCCACCGTGCTATCCCCAGGCCTTCATGTCCCCAAGGGTTCTAAACCACCAGACTGTCCTGGACCTTTATGTTCCTGAGGACACCACGCTGTACCCATGCCATAATAGCCCCAAGGCCACCATGCTGTCCCCAGGCCCTCATGTCCCCAAGGCCACCGTGCTGTCCCTAAGCCATCGTGCCCCCAAGGGCTGCTGAGCCACTGGTCCTTCCCCACATCCCTGGGGATGTGAAGCCACCATGCCCTCCCCAGGGTCACCTTGTCCCCGAGGGCCACCCCCCCATGTGCTGCCTGGGGCACTGTGTCCCCAGGGGCTGCGGTGCCACCCCCGTGCCGTGTCCCCGCAGGTGGCCTGCATGCAGTTCATCAACATCGTGGTGCACTCGGTGGAGAACATGAACTTCCGCGTGTTCCTGCAGTACGAGTTCACCCACCTGGGGCTGGACCAGTACCTGGAGGTGGGTGATCCCGAGGGCTGGGGGTGCTGGGGGGGGACACACCACCGTCCCTGACCGTGCCCCGGCTGTCCCGCGGCAGAGCCTGCGCCTCACCGAGAGCGACAAGCTGCAGGTACAGATCCAAGCCTACCTGGACAACGTCTTCGACGTGGGGGCCATGCTGGAGGACTCGGAGACCAAGACGGCGGTGCTGGAGCACATGGAGGAGCTGCAGGAGCTCGTCAGCCAGGTGGGCCGCGGGCGCGTGGGCAGGAGCCGCTGACGCAGAGCCCCGAGGGAGGGACGGGGACGGGGCTGAGCCGGCGGCGCCTCGTCCCCCACAGCTGACGGAGAAGCTGCAGGATGCAGAGAACGACTCCATGGCCAAGATAGCGGAGCTGGAGAAGCAGCTGAGCCAGGCACGGCGGGAGCTGGAGGTGCTGCGGGTGAGCACCCACGGGCGCCGCGGCGCCGGAGGGAGGGCTGTGGGTTTGAGGTTTGAGTGGGACACTGGTGACACTGGTCCTGGGGGTTGTCACCTCTCCAGGAGCAGCTGAGCCCCCCGCGGCCGCCCAGCCCGCCGTCCCCGCGGCCACAGGAGTGCTACCGACTGGCGCTGGAGCGGCGGCTGGCGGAGCTGGAGGAGAAGGGGCTGGTGCAGATCCTGCGTGGGCCCGACGGGGACGTCGCCATCGAGATCGTCCCCGTTGTCATAGAAACGCCGGCAGCCCCCGTGGTTGCTGGAGAGGCCACCGCCACTGTCACCACCGTCACCACCGCCACCTGCACAGGTACCACGGGTGCGAGGGGGTGAACCCTTCCGGGCGGGGACAGCAGGCACAGAGGAGGGGTGGCAGCGTGTCTCTGGGCAGAGGAGCTGGGGCAGGGGCGTGGGGACGTGCCCAGGGAGGCAGAGTCCATCGGTGGCAGAGGGGACGTGGCGGTGGCACCGTGCCCTGCCGTGTCACCGTCTCACCCACCTCTTCTTTCCCTTGCAGATGCTCCGGCTCTGGCTCCAGCCCCACCTCCACCACCAGCCCCTGCTGCCCCTCCGCCCCCACCCCCACCCCCTCCACCCCCCCCACCATTGCCGGGGGCTGAGCACGTCCCCCCCCCACCCCCCGCCCCCCCTCTGCCCACAGCCACCATCCCCCCCCCAGCCCCTCCACTCCCGGGTGCCCAAGTGCCACCACCCCCCCCACCGCTCCCAGGGGGGCTGGAGGGCCCTGTCCCCCCCCCTCCACCACCCCCACCCCTCGGGGGGGAGCTCCCAGCTGGGCCTGGTGCCCCCCAAACTGCCAACGGTTCAGGTGAGTGTGGCCCAGGGATACTGGGGACGCCCCCCAGGCGAGGTCTGGGGGCACCCAGGGGTGGTTTTTTGACTCCCCCACCCTGTGACGTGTCCCCCTTGCCCGTGACCCCGCAGTGAAGGTGAAGAAGCCCATCCAGACCAAGTTCCGCATGCCCGTCTTCAACTGGGTGGCCCTGAAGCCGAGCCAGATCGACGGCACCGTGTTCACCGAGCTCAACGACGAGAAGGTGCTGCAGGTGAGGACAGGAGGGGGCTGGGGGGCCAGAGGGACTGGGGGGGCCGGGCACAGGGGGTCTGGGTGGGTCAGAGCTGCAGTCCATGCTGAGGTTGCCCCTGCACCCACCCTGCACCCACCCGCAGTGTCACAGGGCTGCTGGAGGAGCTGGAGGTTGGAGGAGCTCCTTGGCACCACGGAGAGGGACAACACAGGGGCTGGCATCCTTCTCCTGTCACCCCATCCTTGTCTCTTTGCTCCATCCTCATCCTCACACCCTGTCCTTTTCTTCTTCCTCATCTCCATCCTCTGGTCCCCCGTGCCCTCCTTACCCCCTCCCTGTCCCCTTGCCTGTTCCCTCTGCTTGTTCCCTTGTCCCATCCTCATCCCCTTGTTTCATCTTCATCCTCTCACTCCTCTTTCCCTTATCATGGTTCTCTGACCCCGTCCCCATCCCAGATGCCCCGTGCCACCTCCCTGCCGTGCCCTCAGCCCTGTGTCCCCGCAGGAGCTGGACATGAGTGACTTCGAGGAGCAGTTCAAGACCAAGGCGCAGGGCCCTGCCTTGGACATCAGTGCCCTCAAGGCCAAGGCCACCCAGAAGGCCCCCAGCAAGGTGACCCTCATGGAGTCCAACCGGGCCAAGAACTTGGCCATCACCCTGCGCAAGGGCGGCCGCAGCGTCCAGGACATCTGCACTGCCATCGAGACGTGAGTGTCCCCTGAGAGGGGGGACAAGGGCGGGCACAGCCTGGCTGGAATGAGCGGTTGGGATGGTGTGGGGTGTGCTGGGATGCAGGGACCAGATACGGAGGGATGGAGGGATGCAGGGACCAGACATGGGGACAGAGGGATGCAGAAACAAGAGATGAAAGGATGTAGGGACAAGACACGGAGGGATTCAGGGATGTAGAAACCAGATACGAGAGGGAGGGACACAGGGACAGAGATGAAGGGATGTGGGGACCAGCTGTGGGGGCAGAGGGAAGATGGGACCAGCTGTGGGTGGCAGGGGGGTTGAGGTCCGAGGTGTCCCACCCCTCACAGGTACGACCAGCAAGCCCTGAGCCTCGACTTCCTGGAGCTGCTGCTGCGCTTCCTGCCCACCGAGTACGAGCGGACGCTGATCGGGAAGTTCGAGCGGGAGCAGCAGCCGCCGGAGGAGCTGTCGGACGAGGACCAGTTCATGATCCGCTTCAGCAAGATCCCGCGCCTGGCCGAGCGCATGAACGTCATGATCTTCCTGGGCAACTTCAGCGACACGGCCCAGCTGCTCATGCCCGTGGGTGCTGGGCACGGGCGGGCTGGGGGCTGGGAAGGGCTGGGGGCCTCCTGCAGCCACCTCATGTGCTCCCCTCCCTCCCTCCCACAGCAACTCAACGCCATCATCGCCGCCTCCATGTCCCTCAAGTCCTCCAGCAAACTGCGCCACATCCTCGAGGTGAGAGCTTTGGGGTGCATGTAGGGTGCTGGCACGGTCCCTGTTGGCTCTGTGCCCCCCTCCCCCAGGGTGCCCTGTCCACCCCAGGCTGTGTCCCTGAGCCGTTGTGTCCCTGCAGATCGTCCTGGCCTTCGGGAATTACATGAACAGCAGCAAGCGGGGAGCAGCCTACGGCTTCCGCCTGCAGAGCCTCGACGCGGTAGGGCCGGCGTGGGGCTGCTCGGGGGCACCGGCACTGCCAGGGACCAGCCCCGGGCACAGGGGGACACAGGGACCAGCTGGAGGGATGAAGGGACGTGGGATTCAGTTGTGGGGATGGAGGGATGGAAGGGTCACCTATAGGGTTTGGAGAGGCATGGGGAGCAGCTATAGGGATGCAGGGAACAGCTGTGGGAATGGAGGGATGAAGAGACCATCTAAAGGGTTGGAGAGGCAAGAGGGGGGCAGTTAAAGGGATGAAGATACTCGGGAACTGGCTGTGGGGTTGGAAGGATGGAGAACAGATCTGGAGAGGTGAAGGGATTCAAGGACCATCTGTGGGGATGAAGGAAGATGGGAAGCAGCCATGGGGATGGAGAGAGGAAGGCCACATGTGAACATAGAGGGGATGTAGGGATGAAGACTCAGTCATGGGGATAGAGGGGTGCAGAATGAGCTGTGGGGTTGGAGGGATGCAGACCCAGCCATGGGGATGGAGGAAGATGGGAATCAGCCACGGGGATGGAGGGACGCAGACCTGGTGGTGGGGATGGAGGGGTGCAGACTCAGCCATGAGGATGGAGGGATGGAGGGATGGAGGGATGGAGGGATGCAGATCCAGCCATAGGGATGGAGGGATGAAGATCCAGCCATAGGGATGGAGGGATGAAGAATGAGCATGGGCGTGGTGGGATACAGACCTGGCCGTGGGGATGGAGGGATGCAGACCCAGCCACAGTAATGAAGGGCCAGCAGAGCCTGCCCTGGGCAGGGTGAAGGGCTGGTTGAGGAGGGTCGGGGCTGACCCAGCTCTCCCCCAGCTCCTGGAGATGAAGTCCACGGACCGCAAGCAGACGCTGCTGCACTACCTGGTGCGGGTGATCACGGAGAAGTACCCGGAGCTCACGGGCTTCCACACCGAGCTGCACTTCCTCGACAAGGCGGGCACAGGTAGTGCCCACGGGCTCTGGGCTGGGGGTTGTGGCAGCCCCTGGTGCTCCCAGCCTGCCCTGACCCCGCGCTCTCCCCCCTCAGTGTCCCTGGACGGGGTCCTGCAGGACGTGCGGAGCCTCCAGCAGGGCATGGAGCTGACCCGCAGGGAGTTCCTGCGCCAGGACGACAGCCCCGTGCTCAAGGACTTCCTCAAGGTCAACTCAGAGGTGATGGAGAAGCTGCAGGCTGACAGCAAAACTGCCAAGGTGGGTGCTGGGGTGCTGGGAGGGGGGCAGAGGATAGGATTGTGTCCCCCATTCCTACATGGGAACATCCCGGGGTGCTCCCACCTCTGGCCCACGGGAGAGGCTCCTGGTTGGGATGTGGCTCCAGCAGGACAGCTGGGAGGGATATGGAGTGGGATGGTGAGGTGGGAGAGGCTGGAAGGAGGAGGTGGGTGTTGGGTGCTGCTGCCCGGCCCCTCAAGGGGTGTCTGTGCCCACAGGAGGCCTATGAGTCGGCTGTGGAGTATTTTGGGGAGAACCCCAAGACCAGTCCCCCCACCACCTTCTTCCCCATGTTCATGCGCTTCATCAGAGCCTACAAGGTAGGAGAGGGCAGGGGGTGTCCTGTTTCTGAGGGTTGGGAGCAAATTTGGGGGGTCTGACCTCACTTGGGACAACCAGCAGAAGCCACAGGCGAGACTGGGGCTCATGGGGCTGGGAGACCCTGGGGCTTGGGAACAGCCTTTGGGATGGTCAGAGATGCTGGAGCTGGATTGGGGTGAGCTGGGAGCTTTGTGGGGGGCTGCAGTCCTGCAGCAGGACCCCCCTGGCTCAGCACACCCTTCCTACCCCTCTCCCAAGAAAGCAGAGCAGGACATTGAGCTGTGGAAGAAACAAGAGGCCGCGGCCAAGGAGGCAGAAAACAGCCCCACCGAGCAGCAGCCGGAGGTGAAGGAGCTCCCGTGTCCTGGGGGGGTCCCAGCTCCAGCCCCGAGTGGGCTGCCTGGTGGGGAGGGACTAAACCGGCCCTGGGGAGGGAGAGTTGGGCGGGAGGTGAAGGTGAGGGCACCCCAGGTCTGTTGGGGGGTGGGGGGTGGCCATGCCTCTCACCCACACTGTCCCTCCCCAGCTGCCCATCCAGAAGGCCAAGCGGCAGCAGATGGACATGATCGCTGAGCTCAAGAAGAAGCAGATGGTGAAGGAGCCTCTCATCTACGAAGGCAAAGATGGGGCCATCGAGGACATAATTTCAGGTGAGAGATGATTTCACTTGAGGGGCCGAGTGTCCCTCCCACCTCAGACCCAGCACTCGGTGCCAGCAGAAGCCCCTCGGTCTGGGGGCTGCAGGGGCTCTCACAGGGGCTGGAGGGTCACCAAGCCCCACTGCAGGGATCAAACCCATCTGCAGCACCTTCCCATGCCACGCGGCCAAGCTCTCCCTGCCCTGTCTCATAGATCTTCCTTCTATTCTGCTTCTTCCTCTTCTCTCCTCTCTCCTGCTCCTCCTCCTCCTCCTCCTCGCTGTCTCTGGATCGCTCTGCTCAGCTCTGAAAACTGTCCCTTTCACGGCCCGGACGGGCAAACGCTCGTCCCGGCTCTTCTGCGACGTGAGTTACAACGAGGAGAGCCCTCTGTAGGTAACGTGGGGCAGGGGCTCGGCGCGGGGGGCCGGGGGCTGCCGGGCTGTCCCACCCACCGGGGCTTCTCCCCACTCTGCACTCAATCCCGGGGGCACCCCGGCATCAGCCCCCCCGATACGGGCACTGACAGCCGAGGGTTGGGGTCCCACGGGCTGGTTGGTTGTAGCTGCTGCTCCTCCTGTCAC